CATGCACTTTTGTGAGGTGCTTGTGATGATATGCCATGTTTCGTTTTTGCCAGAGGTGGTGCTATGCATTACTGCCAGACATCTCCACTTTGATCCCACCTGTCCAAAGGACCACAAGTCTTGTGGTTGGTTCAGATGTAACTTTGCTGCCATGTTGTTTTTAGAGAGAAGAGGCTTTCTCCTGGGAACCCTGTAAAACAAGCCATACCTGTCCAGTCTTTTTCTAATTGTAATACATTATTGCATCATATTGCACCAGACCAGCAAACTTATAGCAAATGATCAGTTTGTTTAGCAGCACCTGGCTGCTACTTCGTAAGTCCTGAGGAAGTGGTAAGGATGTGCTTACCGAGAAAACCTTTATTTTCATGCAAATGTATGGTTATCAGAGAGCTTTTTAGAGACCAAACACAGGGCTAAATTAGATAAATTAGTAATCATGCTTACACGTTTCCTGATAGGTTTCGCATAGCAGCTTAAAATGTGATAATAAGTCAGTGTCATGTTCACTAACGACTTACATCCATGTAGTAAAGAGAATAAGACTCAATACAGTGCATAGAGTTTGTGAATCGAGTGAATCTTAAAACATTTTTAAGCTTCTGTATAAACCACTAAATCAGCGCCTGTGCTGTGTTTTCAGGTGATGGTGCAAATGATGTAAATATGATCCAAGCAGCTGACATTGGCATTGGGATATCTGGACAGGAGGGGATGCAGGTTGGAATTGATTTCTTTACCTCCATGTATGTGCTTTGTTCTCCTGCCTCACAGCCTAAAACACATCAAAACTCCTCTTTGTCATCTGCAGGCCGTCATGGCCAGTGATTTTGCCATATCTCGCTTCAAACACCTGAAGAAACTTCTCCTGGTCCACGGACACTGGTGCTACACTCGACTGGCCAACATGATCATTTATTTCTTCTATAAGAACGTGGTGAGTGTTATATGTTATATCTGCATCCCGATGCTCTGCTGTCTAAATTAACATCCTGTCATGATTCATCCTTTAACCGTCTGTGTTTAATATGTTTCCCAGGCCTACGTAAACCTGCTTTTCTGGTATCAGTTCTTCTGCGGATTCTCTGCCACTGCCATGATCGACTACTGGCTGATGATTTTCTTCAACCTTTTCTTCACCTCTGTGCCACCCATAATGTTTGGACTCATGGACAAAGACATCTCAGCAGAGATGCTGCTGGGTGTGCCCGAGCTGTACAAGACTGGACAGGGTGAAGGGGTTAGTGACACTCCCAAAAAGTCATGCGAGCGTTCGGTCTTGAATAAAAATGTGCAGAATGCTTTGATTAGTTTCTGTCTTCATGAATTCCAACTTTTGTGTTGTTTGTTCAGGATTACAGGTTTACAGCTTTCTGGGTTTCCATCCTCGATGCCTTCTATCAGAGTCTGGTCTGCTTCTTTGTTCCATATTTTGTAAGTGACACATTTTAAACAGTCTAATCTTTGATTGCATTAAGTAATGCTTTCATAACAGGGCGTCATTTGATTTATTTACTGGTTAACTACTCTTTGTGATAACTGCTTTCTTCTTTATATTTGATAGTGTACTTAATTTAATTACTTGTATCTCAGGTCTACCAGGATTCAGACATTGATATGTTCACTTTTGGAACACCTATGAACACATCTGCTTTATTTATCATCCTGATGCATCTGTCAATAGAGATCAAATCCTGGGTGAGTTCTGAACTGACATAATCATGATATACCTCAGTAGAAATGTCTTTAATTCACTTCTTTTTATTAGTGCATATTCGAATTCTAACATTTTTTAAGACCTCTAAACTGGTTTTAAATGAAAGGAAGACACACATAAATTAGAAAATGCAATAGAGAGCTAACCCAGATGGTTTTTCTATGTTTCCAGGAGAAAAATGTTCTTGAAATCTGGATGATGTATAACAGCCTCTCTGTGAAAACCTTGTGAATATAGGCAGAATAAAGTAAAACTAAGGAATAAGGATCTACATCATTTTTTCGGTATTCATTTTTAATCCACAGCTTTTACTCCAAATATTCAAAATACAAATATTCTCTTTTTAGAATCTCTTTTTATCTCTTTTTAGAAAGACTAAATTTTATTTACTAACAAACCACTAAACTTATTCCTAACTTTTTATACATATGCATATTTTCCAAAATGTTAAGTGAGGTATTTAATTTATATGCAATTTCAACAGAAGGTAATAATTTTTTTAAAGCATGGAAACAAAGTAATGCAAAAAAAAAAACTGATGAAGAATCTTATTGCTGTAAATATTTCTCTTGCAGCAGAAAACAGAGAATTAACGGGTATTTGTTGCTAACTGGATTGTTTCCACCACATGTAATTGCTGTTTTTTGTCATTTGTGCCGCAGACGGTGGTTCACTGGATAATCATGCTGGGCAGTGTGGCATTGTACTTCATCGTGACACTCGCCTACAGCGCCGTCTGTGTAACCTGCAACCCTCCCTCTAACCCATACTGGATCCTCCAGAGCCAGATGGAGGACCCCATGTTCTACCTTATCTGCATCCTCTCCACTGTGGTGGCTCTCCTGCCCAGGTACCGTGTCTGTCACTCTTTAAGCTCAGTGGGGTTGAAGATTTTTAATTGTCCAGAGTTTTGGGGTGTATTTGTGAGCACTTTCTAGCGTTGGTAAGTCTTTTCAGTGTCAATGTTTAACAATCACATAGTCTAATTTTAAAATATGAGCAGCATAAGGTGGGTTTTGCTCTGTATTTCCCTTCATTTCTACTTTAAGGAGTCACCAAATGTGAACGGATGTACATATACTTACAGATCTATTATTATAGAAAAGCAACAATTAGCTGCACAGGTGTTAATTAACACTAAGGATATTAAACTCTAACGTTCTCCATTTTTTTGTCATATGACAACCAGAGGAAAATAAAAATGTTCTGAAATTAATAATAATTTCTTTTAATAAATGTATTTTGCGTTCAGCACAGTCGACGGTACGGTGACTCAAAACGGAATAAAGAGAAAAAGCAGCAAATATTCTCTATTTTTAGTTAAAGAATGACTCATTCAATGCTGAATTCATGTTCACAATATAACTCACTTCTTAATCGATTTTCAAAAAACCCATTTGAGCAGTTTTCCTATTATGTTTATATCTATTTCCTAATACATGTCTATTTGTGTTGGATTTTCTAGCCCAATGGTTCTCAACAGCAAATCTGAATCATCCTGCGGTTTTTAAAGGGAGCAGACAATGCTACTTTTCTCTAATGCTACCCTTTTCTTAGCCACTTAAAATCTTTAAAAAAATAATAGAACATCTCTGCACAAAAGGCCATAGATAACCTTAGATGAGCGGCAACAGAAAAAACAACAAAAATAGAAATCACTATTTTAGTCTACATTTGCACACATATTTAAAGCTAGCGGGTCTCCTATTTTAATTACTTATATTGATCTAGAGCACGCTTTGACTTGTGTACATCATTAACTGCTATGCAATTATGAGGCTCTTACGGTGTGTAAACCCTACCTGCAGAATTGTAGTTAAATATTGTTAAATGTGAAGGTCAAGAAGGACTGCACCACAGCTTGGTCTTCTTCTTCTCGGTTGCTGATGCGTCTGAAAGTGCTGATATTTAGAGAGAACGCTCTGATTTACATCAAAGGGCTGCATATTTTTCACTGGCCTACTTTCTCACCACCACACTCTCTCCCTCAGGTACATTTTTCACGTGCTGCAGAACTCTATCGCCCTCTCCCCGTTCATACAAGCTAAGCATCTGGACCGTAAGGACCCCTCCATCAGAGAAGAGTGTATGAAGGAGTTGAGGAGCTACAGGGGCGGCGGGCAGGTCAAACGCTCTAGGCTCTCTACCCCACCCTCTCCCACCCTGGAGACCCCTGTGGACTTCATTCACGAGTCTCTTGCGGTTGCTGATATCATGGGGGATGATTTCACACTGAATGCCACAACTAAAAACTAGCAAAAGTCTGCAGACTCACAGGGAACATGAAGGGGAAAGGAATTCTAAGATGGTTATTTATTCAGAGGATTTTATATACATGAAGTCCCCCTGTATACATTGTTTCATTTTTGAAATGCAATCAGGGAGATACTGCTGCTCTCTAACTGGAGTTTATTTTGCAATAAACTACGTGACAAAAGCATGTGGGCCGTCTGTTCCTTCCTCTCCTCCTAACAAAGTAACACATAAGCCTGTTAGTTTCCTGATGGGGTTTCAGCGCATAGTGGTAACCCAATTAGTCATGCCACCCACCCCTTCAAAAAGTGGTACTTTTCCAGGACAAAATGCTTAGCTGGTTTAGTGTGGTCCTCTCACCTAGATATCCTAAACAGCCACAGTTACAGATCCTCTATTTAATTTGCTGCCATTATTAATAATATTAGTGGCATTTATAAGCTAGCCTTGGAGTAATTTTTGTGTTCGGTATGCATGTCTGTGAAAATTACCATGGAAATGCATGGAAATCAAATTTTATTTTCCACACCAACAACCAGTGTGTGTGTGTGTGTGTGTGTGTGTGTGTGTGTGTGTGTGTGTGTGTGCGTGTGTGTGTGTGTGTGTGTCAAGCTTTATGTAAATCCAGCTGGAGCATCTACATCAAACAAGCCAAAAAAGATAAATTTAGAAGAATCAGAAGCAAAGACTTCTGAGCTACAAAGACTGCTGCTTTTTTTTAAATGGAAATCGAGTGTGCACAAGCAAATCCACTTGTAAAAAAAGGCTGAGGTATCATTGGTATACCCCATTATACAGTAGCAGCTCTGCTTATATAACGTCCCATTCCCCCCCCCCCCCCCCCCCCCCCCCTCCGGTTAGATCTTTGCTGCCCTCTAGAGCTGAAAACGAAGTGCTGCAGAAAGGTCAAACGGGACAAAGTCAGCTTGGATCAGGCTTCACTGTTTAGGAGATCATGCAACATTAAAGTTATGTAAACATGTTTTTTTTATTAGTATTTAAATACAGCCTGTGTAGAATAAAAAGCAGTTTCAATGAAGCTGACATCAATGCTGCACATACACAAAAACCACTAACAATAAGTGATATAAATTTATACAGCAATTCTTCTTCTACTAACTACATCCACGCAAAGTAAACAAATACAAAACAGATATTTACAGCTGTATGTTGGACAGCGTGTCATTGCACATCGTGGGCCTGTAATGGTTCATTTGTACCTTTTGCACAAAACTATCGTCGTAATCACATTTGATACAAATACTTCAGTTTTAAGTTGGTACTCCCTTACAAGCAAAGAACCAACTAACTACATGTTAAATCCCACAGGACAATAATAAAAATAAATAAATAACTAAATGTAACACTCAAAAAACAAATCACGCCCAAAGTGCTGACTTTAAGTAATTTGATTACATGTTAATTTTCCATGTAATGTTACATTTAAAGGAATCTGGTAGTACATTTTATACCAAACATATTTCGCTTAATGATCACTTATTTTAATAAATAAATCTTTGATTTGATTGATTTCAACTGCCTTTGCCTCAAAATTATTGCTTCGTGTTTATGAGGACAGCAAATCTTTTTTTTAAGTGCACATGTTTTTGTTTTGTTTTTTAAAAAAGGAAAAAAAGAAAAGAACATAAACTGAACACGTCACCACATCACCTAATCTGAGTTCTGCATATTCATTTCTGTTCAAAGCCTTTAGTCAAATACCTGCTATTACCTGATTTTTAACACCTGTCAACTAAATGAAAAGACGGCAAAGTAAAACAGGCCAACAGACAAAAGAGACCCATTGTGTTTTCCATGGAGGTGTGACTCGCTCCGGCTCAACAGGAAACTCCTGTCCTTTCTGCAATGAACCAGTATCACTGTGGTTAGTGTCCTCACCTGAATGCATGCAAATGTGGTTAAATTCAGAAAAATCTGTAACTTGAGGAAGAGTTTTAAATTAACTGGTTAATTATTTCATTAATTTTAAGATTTTCAGAAAGATTTAGAAACGTAAAGAACTTGTGAATTATGTTTGGGGGATTTTTCCCTACCAACGACCAGCAGATGGCAGCGTCACGCTCTTTTATACACCATGGTTAAAAATGTAGCCCATCATTCAACTGCAACCAACATGTTTCATTACAACATTTAGTGACAGACAGAAAGCAATCAAACGTTTTTATGCATGAACTATTTTCAGAGAAGTGTATTATTCTTACATAAAATTCATTGATGGTACACAACAGCTACAGAAATTACCCATAGTGAGCGGGCCAAGACGCGCCGTGAAGAAATGTTTTCACCTTTCCTAATTTTTTTCCCAGCTTATTTCTCATGCTTACATATTTCAGATCACCAAACAAATTTTAATATTAGACACAGAAAACTGAAGTAAGTACATTTTGCAGTTTTTTTGAACAATGACTTACTGAGAGAGAGAAAAGAGGTACCCAAATCTACCTGGCACGTGTTTGAAAGACAAATTCCCCCTAAACCTGATAAGTGGTTGTGCCACTGTTGGTAGCAAGAACTGCAATCAAACTATCTGCTTTAGGACCTGGATGACCTGCTGTAATTAATGGAACCATAAATTCTGCTCTCTACCAAAAGATCCTGAAGGAGAATTTCTGGTCATCATTTCATGGACTGAAGCTCAATCAAACTTGGGTTACGCAGCACGGTAATGATTTGAAACACATCAGCAGGTCCACCTCTGAATGGCTCAAAAAAACAACCCCCCACCCCACCCCCGAAAAACAAACAAAGTGAATGTTTGGGAGAAGCCAAGTGAAAGTATGAAGTTAGATTGAGATACTTCGCCATGACCTTAAGTGTTTTCAACTCTTCTTCTGCAATGAAGAGTGGGCAAAAATCATTGCAAATTATCACAAACACTTGATTGCAGCTCTTGTTGCCAAGAGTGGCACAACCCCTTATTAGGTTTAGGGGTCAGTTACTCTTTCCCACAGGATCAGGTAGATTTGGATTGCTTTTGTTCCCTTAATAAATTTAATTGTTATTTAAAAACTGCATTTTGTATTCATTCTGACTCTTTGTATGACATTAAGATTCGTTTGATGATCTGAAACATGTAAGTGTGACAAATGTGCAAGAACATAAGAAATCAAATAATTTTCACATGATAGAGATAGGGTGATGGTGGTGCGCTGGCAGTGGATTTTCACCTGGGAAAGCAGGGTTCCAATCTTACACAAAGCCAAACGTGTATGCCTGTGCTTCTCTGGCCCAAAGTCTTTCTCCAAGCAGGGCTTTCCAGTCAGGGGCCATCTTGAAATGGATTTTTCGTTTTTCCTTTTCTAAATGTTATGTCTATTAAAATTGTAAACTGTAACCATAGTTTAATGCCATCATTGATAGCTCTGGCTTCATGTCAGCCTACCAGGTGGGCATCATATCAGGAAACCACATCCGCCCGAGGTGCTTCGACACCTCACTGTGGATCTGCTCTATGTTATAGCTGCTGTCTGGGATCAGTACCTCCTCCATGATTGACAGCTGTGTCAGCCTGCCCCCGCACATCTTCACAAACTCCACAAAGCCACTGCAGGTCACCTCACACTCGCCTAGCCCGATCGCTGTCAAGCTCTTGCAGCGCTCTGCGATGCGGATTAGCTCCTCATCTAGGGGCTCAATGCCATTGGCGCACACAACCAGCTCCACCAGCCGAGGGCAGTTCAGTCCAATGCGGCCTAGCATCATTTTACTAACAGCTCGGCCAAAGTACAGGTGGGTGACGGGGGTCTCCTCGCAGAAAAAGGGCTCAAACTCCTCCTCATACAAGTAGAAATACATGACTATGTTGACCTTCGGCGAGTGGCGGATCAAAGCCTCCCAGCTGCTCCTCTTGATGGTGTGAAAATGTGTTTGGCCGGGGTTTTCACTCACCACGTCAATGCGCAGGTGTTCCAAGTGAACGTGTTTTTCAGAAGACAGGGCAAGAAGAAGCTCATCACTTAAGAGATGGTAGTTCAACGCCAGCTCCCTGAGGCCATGACACTGGTCTGCCACACACAAGATACCTTATGAAAAAGAGAGAAGAGTGTCTTAATGTTTTAGAGCCTTTGAGAATGTATATACCTTTTAAATATGAGTATGTTAGCTGAGGCACGGTTGTACCCTTAATCACAGACTGTATACTAAAAGGTGTTCATAGCTTCTGGGTATTAAAGGTTTGTCCTTAAAGCTGCATTCTTTCTTGGGCAGCAGGGGTCAACTGTAAAGAAATCTATAAGAAGATAACGTTACTTCTCACTTGCTTTATGGCCACAATAAACACTTTCCTGATGATTTTATGGTGGTACGGTACGATTTCACGGTGGGGCCACCTTGTGACTGTCAGGTTACTACCCAACTGGCCTATAGTGTGCTTGGGTTTAGGGTCAGCTCAACTCCCCTGTCATATAGTTTAAAGGCTTCATAATGGGAGTCCATAAGCTGACAGGTGACATCATGTTGCTTATGTTCACCTTCATAAACAGTCTGTGAATTTAATTTTCTTTTTGGCAATCAGTTCCATGCTGAAGTACCTCAGTTCCAAGAAAAGCAAAATTGAGCATCTTGCTGATGAGTATTCACAGTGCCCACTTTGAAGCTAAAATACTGCAGGTGTACTAACCAGCTGGGGAGACATGAGGACAGCTGCTCATCTTCAGCAACTTAAGGGTGTCACTGTTGTTGGCAACCAGCACCTTCAGGGACGGATCATCCACTGGGGTGTCATCGATCCTGATGGAGGATAATGACTTGGAGTTTACGAACACCACCGTCAGGGCAGACACAAAATGGGCCTGAGGAGATACCAACGATGTTCATCAAACCAGGATTCATTATCTGTTATTGCTGATGTAGAAAACTGTGCAAATCTTTTTACAGGAAGTGCAAAAAATAATAATGCACCAGGGGAAGAGGTGAATACAATCTTCATGATGACTTGAAATACCAGCATATATTATGTGTGTTAAAAAAAAAATCAAATATAAACAGGCCATTTCTTACTTGAGATACATCCATGAAGCTGGGCCGTGCTGTAGAAATCAGCCCCAGGGTCTTGATGGTGCAGTTCACTAGCTGAGAGAGAATGTCACAAGCTGCCTCTGCAGATTCGGTGCAGCTGTCCACCTGATTTACCAGCAGTGATTCAACATTTTGGAGAGGAGGAAAGAGACATTAAAATAATTGATGAAAGACTGAGGTGTAAGAATCACTTGAGATAATTAAGCACGTCGATGCCAAGACTGCTGACATGTGATGCTCAATTCTGCAGCAGTTCAGATTAAGGAGGGCAGGTATTGTTTATAAGACAGTGTGTTGTGAAAATGGAAGAAGAGAAAGAGGCCACAGCAGGTGAAACAGGTGAGAGGAAATGAGAGACGGCAGGGGAGGCTCTTACTTTGAAGCTAACATACTGCAGGTGTTGGGCATGCTTCTTGATGATCTGCTGAATGAGGTCAGGGTGAGTGGAGCGTAAGTAGGACGTGGCTGGCTGATTGAGCTCAAACTCAAACTTCCTCCACAGGTCAGGGGTGTGAAAGACGTCATTCCAGCACCGGCACACGGATGATGCCCTGGCCCGGTCGACCAGGGACAGATGCTGGAAGATCTGCAGGACGACGTGATGGGGCAGGTTTCCCCAGTCTTGTGCTGGAGTCATCCACTTCGGTCTCTTAGCCCGCTCTCCGAGGGAGGGGAAAATCTGGCACTGTGATTTCAGACCTGTCCTTCCTCGCTTCATTCTGAAGCAAATCAGCCCACTGTGGTGTCATAAAATCAAAGGTGTGTTTAAAAGGGCAGTGCAGGGTTAAGATTTTACTGTGCTGGGATTACACAAGCCATGAATTGCAGTACAGTGTGAACTCAGTTTATGCTGGTAGCACTGAACAGGTTTTGTGTTTAGGGACAAACATCTCCAATTCTATAATTATCTGCTTTAACACTATTTACCCACTTAATTATAGCTTCCTGAAATGCTTCATTAATTATTTTCTTTTATAATTGTATGTTTTTAAAGCCCTGATATAATAAAGAAGCTGCGTTTGGCTGCTCCATTATTCACAGGGAGTCACCACATTTTTACACGTGATTGTCTTTCTGTCAAAGCCCCAATTTGAGTGTTTTTCTAGTCTCAGGTTTCTTTCAGAGTTCAGGGTTCTTGTGCTTGCTGGGCAAATGTGTAACTATGGAGCTACCAACGTGCTGATAAATCAGAGAGTTTTAAATGTGTCTGGATCCAATGAGAATTTTCTCTTTTTTTTCACACAATCAGTATTTGCAAATGACATTTTTTCTGTTTAGTATAATTTAAAAAAAGAACAAAGAACTTTATATTTATCCACTAAAAGCACAGAGTTCTCTAACATATAACTCTCTATGTTATCTGCGTTACATGACAGCCAAACTCAAACAAATAAATGCTGTCAGAACTAGATTTATGAAGTACCAACTATGTCAAAGGACATATGAGCACTGTATAACACAAATATAAGGTACGTAATATATATACAGCACTTGATATTAAAACGGAACTCTTTGTCCTTTACCACCACCACACTTGAAGAAACAATCTTAGACACTATAAGCACCGACATAATTTAATGCAACAGCGACCAGTCTAAAAGCTAAAAGTGTCTAAAAACTAACCCTACAGAGATGCACTGTAAAAATCTGTCTGTGAGCTGATGTTGTTTTTATTCAAGAGTCAATACTGGCTCCAGAATATGTACGAAGGTCTTTTAAATAAAGTATCAGCTAATGGTGTTCGCGTTTCACTAACTATGAAATATACTAATCTGTTTTAAAACCATTTATAGTATTGTCCCTCTGTTATTACCACCACTATTGCTTTCCTTGCATTGTATTGTGTTGCTGTTGTTGTTACCGTCGTTGCATATTATTGCATGTTGCACATGCTTAAAAAAAGCTGAACAGAAACTTTAAAATGCATAAATGCAGGTGTCCTATGAGCATTTATGAGTCTGCAGCAAAGCTGACCGAATCGTAACACAGCCCTTCTCCTCCAGCCTCCTCCAATTCCGCAATCGATCTTTTACTCACAGTCCAAAATATCAATAAAGCTCAGAGTTACTTACCCGAACGGCTTAAAAACGACGCCTTCCGCAGGGTTTCGTGCTCTGCCAGCTGAGATGACAGCGTCCACTTGGAGCCATGGCTGGAGATGACTGCAGAAATGCTGGCTGCTGTTGATATAGGACAGCAGGAGCAGCTCCCATAATAAGCTCTCTTCACTTTAGCGACAGCTTGACGGGCGCTGCCGAGCAGCCGGTACACGTGAGCTGAGGAAAACATGGATCTGCATCTCCCACCACCATCTTGCGCGCAGAAAAACAGATTAACAGTTCTGCGTGAGCAGAGGACATATATTTTCACATTTCAGGAAGTTGGAAAGGACTGTTTATACTAATTCTAATTTATGTGGTCACTCAATGAGTGTTGTTGTCCTCATGAGCAGAGGGCACAAGATAGTGTGTGCACGCTTGCACACAGAAACTAGGTCAGTGTGTCAAAGTGTGCGTGCGTGCGTGTGTTTGTGTGACGGAGAGAGTGATCTTGTGGACATGCTCATTAAAACCCCACACAGGAACACACTTTATAAACCCTTGATTATCGAACCTGTGCCGATTAAAGCAGTTTATTAACCGCGGCCGTCAGCGGTGAAGAAAAGTTAGAAAACGACGTCAGGTGGTTTCTTAGTGTTATGAATCTTGCTGCTTCACAAACTGGCACATCTAAAGCAGATGGCAAAACAACTATACCTGATAAAAACGTTTACATTTATCTAAACTCATTAAAAAAAATAGCAATCACGTGTGGGTTTACAAACTCAAGGTGAAAAACATCAAACAAACCGGATGTTTACATCTGGATACTGTTAGGATGCCTGGGTCGTTGACCCAGGGTGTTTGAGTTTATGTTATTATTTATACTTTCTAGTTTTTGGTTTCTTTGAGTTCCGTCTTATGGCTTATGTCTCCCCTATCACCTGCATCCCCTTGTCTAGTTCTCGTCTATGTGTATCCTAAGTTCCTATATCCCCGTGTTCAGTCAGTGTTTGTGTCTGCCCTGTTCCCACGTCTCTGTTCCCTTTGTAGTGCCTGCATATGAGTCTGTGTCTTTGTTCAGTCTGTGTTATGTGTTTCCTGTTTTACTTTGAAAGTCCATGTCTGATGTTAATGTGTCTGGTTTTGCTTCCTCTTGTCTCGTTAGGCCTGATTTGCCCCAGCTGTGTTTCCCTCCTGTTACCCATTCCCTGATTGCTCCCTCTGTGTATTTAAGCCCAGTGTTTCTGTGTCTGTGTTGCGATCTACCGTTTTCCTAGCTGTGTGTTCTGTCATTTCTCTAGTTTAAGTTTGTTTTGAGTTTTTTCAGTTATGTTATATTTTGAGTATTAAATTAAAGCCTTTTTTGAGTTCACGTCTGTCTCCGGAGTCTGCACCTTGGGTCCTATTCCTGCCTGCACACAGCCTTAACCTAACAGATACTGTCATATGGTGTCAGTCTGCTCTTAAAAATACTGGCATGGTTTTGTTGTTATTTTAACCTGTTAATCCTAATCAAGTTGTAAATCACAGTTTGTTCCTCTGACTTTGGCTGCTATTTCTCAGTACCTTACAGAACTTTGGGCTTTTGGCAACCCCAGTGTTTTAGGCCTATTGCATGTCTGGATACTGAGTTTGCAGAGTGGAATAGCAAGAGAGGGAGGAGCAGACAAGAAGAGATGGTCATGTTTATCACTCTGGGGACTACATTGTGCAGGGCATTTCCAAAATTATTTTGAAATGGAAAGGCACAAGAACAATTTGTAGAAAACTGACATAGAAAACCTTGGGCACAGACTCTTGTGCAGCCTGGGGTCTTAACTAAGAGAGGTTTATTTACAAAGAATCTTTCGCAGTCAGTGTCACAAAGTGCCTGATGTCAAAAGTCCAATCTTTTGATGAGAAATTATTAGTAGAGTATTAGTAAACTTTTCCAGAAGTTCAACTTTTTGCCACAGAATGTTTTCCCAAAAGTCTCGGGGATCATTTAGATGTCAGTTATTTTGTTTTTCAGCAGTTTCTTTAGATTGTTGCACAATGTGTTGCTTTTTCTGTTATCCTCCTTACTCTGTCACACAGGTTCTATTTAATTGTTCATTGATTCAACAAGTCTGGCAGTAATTAGGGAAAAGACAAGATCTGCAGCTTTTCATTTAGGTCTGAAAAACTGAACACAACACTGACAATTAAACGTTGACACTGAAATTGCCCAAACTGACAAAGACTAACAGTAAAGTTTTATGGTTGCAAGGCTTTATGTCACTGATGTTTTGTTTGTTTTGTAAGCCATAATTCAGCAAGTTTGTAATTCAAAGTTTCAACTAAATAACTTAAGATTTCAACTTATTCACAAGTCAGAGTGAGTAACTCGACATTTTGAAAAACCTAACCTGAAGTTTTGGGGTAAAAACCCAAAAAGACATAACAATTTGACATTTTGACTCAGTGCTGCCTGAATATTATTTTATTGTTTACTTTATTTTTTTTTCAGTGAAGGAAACAAGGTTCCATAGTTTAAGTCTTAATTTTTTACATTCAGTCTCGTGTTTATTTTTGTTGCCTATAACAACCTTAATATCTGTAGGTAGATGAGAAGCAAAATGCAACATAGAAAAAGCATGAATACATCTTAAAATTTATTATTATTATTTCGACTGCAGTGAAAAAAATGGGATAAATAATATGGGACAAATAAATTCTCTTCTGTTATTCTCTTTGTTTATACCCTGAGTTTCGTCTTCAAGGCTCGTAAACTAAACTGTCGACTGATAATTCGAGTCCACTAAAGCGAACCCGTTAACTTACTAGTAACTTCTTTGCATGACATCTAATCTAACAACACTTAACCGCGATTTATATAAAAAATGGTTACTTTTAGAGAGCGCCACAGCCTTGTAGGCAAAGTACAGGGAAAAACTACACCCTTTTACGTTGCCGTAACTCTCCTAGCTCCGCCTCTATCCCTGGACAAACAGGAATGCAGCCGCTCGTCACGTCAGCATGAGGAGACGCAACAAAATCAGCTACACATAGCAGAGTTCTGTGATAACAGAGGAAGAAAACTCTCAATCCAGCACTGTCAATTATTTCTAGCAGTCCTCACGATGCAGCGACGTGTCCGCTTTGTTGACTGTAACGTAGGATGAAGAGTAGATACCAGCTAGTTAGCTTGCTCTGACAGTCGGAGTACTAGCCTGTGGCTAACAGTTTGCTTCACGCTGTGAACTGAGACGGTAAGTTTTTCTCAGATATTTCTGTGGTGTCACGTTGGCCGCATTGCAACTAGTAAGAGACGGAATTGCTTCCTATATAATCCTAAAAAGACATTAGGTAATATTTTTGGTATTTTTAGCTCCGTGGAGGTGATACTTTCTGTTACAAATACTGCTCACAAAAGGGATCAGTAGCTTTTTCGTACGGCTGACAAAGTCACCAAACCAGCTTTACAAATACTTTACGTTCCATTGTAGCCGATGCGTTTTTTATATAACTGACCTTTTTCTAAAAACTATTAAAACATTCACTAAATTACCTCTTCTGTGTTAACCTAATGTTTATCTAGATTAGTTCATCGGTGTCTCGCTTTTTCTAAACGTGGCCCGGGTCTTTCTCTCTAGTGTCATACGAGTCCCTTTATGTCATTCAACGGATCCGACCTGAGGATCCGACCTCATCCGTTTCATGGGATTTTAAACGGCTATAGCTACAGCCAAGAGTGCTGTTTATGCGGCAGATCCGTAAGTGATCGTCTGTAGGTGTGACAGTATTCACTCAAAGCCCAGGAGGGGATAACAGAGATTATACTTAAGTTAAACATTATTTATCCACCAAAACTTGAACTTTAGATATGTTTCCAGCCCATCAACGAAACGAACGTTATTGTAAGCCAAATGAAACTGGGATCATGTTTCAAGCTTCAGCTTCGAACGGCAATGTTTGGACAACCTGATTAGTCCATGCCAGGAAGGAAGTACAGGAACAATTCTCGTCTTGTACAAACAAAGCTTTGTTTTGTTTCCACTTTTTGTCTAGTAAATGTACCAGAATTGGAAGCACCAATTGCATGTCACAAAATTCGTTTAGTTTTTGTAAAGCTGCAGACCAGCTGTGCACATGGAATAACATCACCCTACTGTCTTTTTCTGACAGTTTCAAACCTTGCTATAGAAATAAAAATGGAGATTCACCCTGATGACACATTTTTAAAAACAGGCAAACTTTAAGCTGAGCAATTTTTATATCTGATGTTAAGCCTTTTTTATTTTAGTAAAGCAAAGATAACCCTGACGGATGTCTCGATTTAAAATTAAACACTTTATTGGTAATATAAGGCATCGTGTATGTTTAGTTTTGCATGCGTGTTTGTGTTTGCCCCATACATTAACATAACTGTCATTTCGAGAAGAACTACCCCATCTTTCTCTACTCAGCTTTCGTGATCTTTTTCCTCAAAGCAAAGACTTGGTGGGAAAACCATTGTCTTTCTTGTGTTCTTTTAGGAAACAGTCATGACACATAAACGCAGCCTGTGTTCAGTTTCTCTTGGAGTGGAGGGTATGACCTGCGGCTCTTGTGTCCAGTCCATAGAGCAGCGCATTGGGTCTCTTCCTGGAGTGATGCATATAAAGGTAAACGTGGGCTCTTTAGAGCTGTTTGTGGTGGTTAGTGGGTTTGAATTTTGTTGTAATTAATTTTTAGTTTAAATGTCATGCAGCAGTCTTTGTTGAGGAACTGATAATAACATTTTGCTGACTCAATACTTCCCTCGTGATACTTACTGTTTAACTACAGGATCTGAAATAACTAGATGTTGTAACAGTGGTCAAGTATTTTAAAACCATGTATTAGATCTCATAAAGAAAAAAAGTATATTAACTAAAGGCCTGATTGATACCCTAATCTTACCCCCTCGGGACTCGCTCATCTGATTAAGAACCAAGTAGCATCAATGTAGCCATGAGAGAGGGTTTAATTGCAATAGTTGAGGCCTGCTGTTTTGTTTATTGTGTGTTTACCCCCGAGGCTGAGGGTAAATGAGACGATAATGTAATAGTGTGTTCCAGATAGCGCTCTGCCCTTTGCGGGACTGTGACATCAGCTCAATAAATTCTGTGTGTATCCACAGAAAATGTCATTTGTGTCTTAAGACAGTTTAGGTCCTGGATTATTTTACATTAATCTATACAGACATGATCT